ACGTACTCCGCTCAATCTGCCAATAACTTCGCTTTGACGCATCGTTTCTGCCTGCACGAAGCGCCGAAACAGAGGCGTGCATCTTCCATACACTGGCCGACCTATCCGCCCTTCCTTCCCGATAACAGCATTCCTCCCTGCCGCTCTTTATAAAAGCTGTGACAGTACATTACGAGTGCATGGCCGGATAATGTGGCGATCCACACAATCTATAGCTAAACGGTTCACAAGTAAATGATCACGTCTTTGGACCTTCCTTTTCAGCAATAGACTCCAGTCACACGTAAATAAGGAAACAATCGTACTTTAATTGCAGGCCTAAATAAATTCATCCCGACCTCTTCTGAGCGCGTGTACGCTTCACCTAGCTCGAGTTAGGGAGAGGCCTTAGTGCTGTTGAACGCGTCGTCACCGTCGAGATAGAATCAGCGCTGGCCAGAGCTCTGACGGCGCGCGACCATTGAGTGCAGCGACGACGTTGAATCCGCGCGTGTGCCCACCGTGCGGCTCGCGGACAAAGACCCGCGGCAAGCATCCGTCGGCCGCATAAATTGTCCGTCCAAAGGCCCTCCGCTGCTGTGTAAACTCGGAATGCGTGACGCGCTGACCCACGCTAGGTCGGCTCGGATCGTGACGGCTATATTTGTTCCTCGACCATCATCACCCACACCGGCGCTGCGCGCGCCATGGCGGAGTCGCCCGTCTCCTGCCATCCCGTCGATCCACATCGAAGGCGCCCGCTTTCTAGAGCACCGCGCATGCCTCTGAGTGAAAGCCTTTCGTTCGAACGAGTTCGAATATTCGGAAGAAGACGGCAAAGCGAGCATCGCTGGAGTGTAGAACTGTGTCGATCGTGCGCCCGAGATTACGGAGGACCGGGAACCCTGCAGCGGTGTCCTCTTGCATTTTCCGTTGGACGGGTGGTTAGCATAGCCGCGGGAGATCGGCGTGGTCTCGGCGACTGAAGAATCACTTGGAAGAACGATGAAAACTTCAAGTGGCGGTTGAGCCAATTTTCAAAAGGTGTATTTAGTATAGGTACAGTTGTTTTTAGTACAAAGTACACCTCGTGAAATCGGAAACACAGAAGATACAGGCAGTAAAGGACCAAGTTTGTCAACAGCTAGTAAATGCTATATTGCCTCGAGGGAGCGATCATTCCAAGTTAACTGGTATTCGATAATAAATGATGCACTCTTGTTCAAATTGGAGGTACAATGAGACTCAGCGGAGAAAGAAAAAAAAGATATGCTGATTAAAACTCACCGTATACGGTAAGTTTTAATGACATATATGTCATATATGTCATTTATGACATATATGTCATAAATGAAACTGTTCTTCATTTATGACATATATGTCATAAATAAAACTGTTCTTCATTTATGATATCGGAATGTGTCTACCTTCTGATGGTGTTTTCCTGGCAGCCTAGCTCCAGACACTGCAAGAATTGTCTGGGTAAATAAAGTTTATTCAACTCAAATACCATCTGTAGACCCCCCCCCCTCTTCCCCCATAGATTCTTATCGAAAATCATTAAACTCGACAAATTGTTCGCGTGCTTATAGGTTGCACGTTTCACACGTTGCGCAGGCGCTGAGGCACTCATCGACAAGTGCTTTCCATTGGCTGCATTCTTGCCTCTTATTCATAGTGCTAGGATCCTCGCGGATAATGCAATACAAGTTAGCAAAGCCCTTAACAACAAATTAATGTTACTTCCATACAAAGTTGCGCTTACCGCACTTTGTTATATATGAAACAAAGGTGAAGTTTTGCTCTTATCAGTTTTAGTTAAAGTAGGTATTTTTATTAGTATACACTGTGGATCCACAACTGACCATGCACTATGTGCACAATGCGATGCACCTCTTCGTAGACGTGTCCGATATATATCAAGGGCACTGTCATAGGGTCATAGCCATAACTGTCTTGCTGTGGTTATATTTTTATTCTAGTATTAGTTATAACTTTGTCAAATAATTACCAATAGACTGTACTTTTTTTTTGCTTGATGGAAGGAAGAAGGACTTGTCTAGACAAAATTTCAAATGCCCTCTGGGACAAAAAATTGAAGAAATCACAGGCTTCCATTGAAACAGGCGTCGGGAATGCTGCGAATTATCCAGCCTCATTTTGTTACTGCCATTTTAAAGAAACATTTTAAAAAATCCTGAATGTACCTATCGTTACGTGTTAACTGGGCACTTGAAGCATTGTCCAGTTTTTGTGAACACGTGTCAATTTCGATTGCACCTAAGGTACGATACGTTAGCTTTCGCAGCACAATCTACGATATTAACATATGGCATTGCTTTCGGCTACGAGAAACTAGAGATATGGTGACAGTTTCAAGGCGCAGCAATTACATCGCTTTATTGGCACGCCCATACCACTCTTTTAATGCTCTGGGACACACCCGCTTCTTCAGTTCTGACGGCTTCAGCGTTTTGTGAGCGCTACTGTAGTGGGCTTTCATTACCGCCTGGTTCGTTGCACGCGAAAGTTCGATCTACTTCAAGTTGGCTCGGATATTTGGCCTTCTAACAATGGGGGTTCACCTGGCTGTACTTCTCCGCTTGTGTGTTACGTGATCTCGTTCAGCAGCTCGATCTTTTTGAACGAATTCGTTCTTGTGCATGCGCATACCTCACATTTGTCACGCTCTAAGCCTCTCTCGAAGCGAAATTTCCGCCCCACTGCGCCTATTTCTTCAGTTAACCCACTGTATCGTTTTTTTTTCTTTTAAAAAAAATTCCAAACCAAACAACCGCATTTCCGCGTCCCGGACGTGACGGTCGAACCAGCAATTCGCGCGTGCGAACGAGCTATACAAACCTTTCGTTGTTACGAACTGCCCAACGGACAATATTCCGTTATAATTCCCACGATGGTTTCACCGTTATTCTACGAAAATCGAAGGCAAAACATACAAACAGACAAAAAAGACAGACGGCGAACTTGGAAGCACGTCTACATGTCGTCGGCCCATGAAATGTTTGGGTGCCGACGTCACTAGTGGCCCCCTTTCTTTCATCTCGCTTTCCTCGTTAAGAAAGTGAGAGACGGTGGTGGACGACCTCCCCGCCAGCCTTTGTGAGCTGTGGTCTGTCGGTTCAGGAAGCACAGCCTCCCACTGGACTGGTGAGAGAGGTGCCGCAGAGAAGGGGCGGCATGGAAGGGTCACCCACTGCTGGGCTGTCCGAGAGCGGCCGATTCAAAACACACGCACGCTCGCTCATATCTCGTGCGAAAGGGGCCACAGTTGTAGCGGCCGAGTACGGGACGGGCCGTTGTTGTAGTTTTGTGTGGACAGAGAAGATAGCCCGAGACCGGCCGGCTACACACGCGGAGAGGAGGCGGCGACGCTGGTGGGGAACTCCTCGGGATAAAGTGCTCCGTCTTAATTTCTCGCTGCGTTTTCTTAACGGGACATCATCAAGTTGCTCTCTTCTTCGCACAACGTGCGTCGCTGGAATCGGTGCGCGTGGCCCGTCGCCGGCGTCCGCATCGGCGAGCCGTCACGCTCCCGCCGCCTCGGCTGTGCACCCGTTTTGACTGGCTCTCATCCGAAGCGCACGCTTTCCGTGCCGTCGAGTCGTCGTGCCTGTCCTTGCGGCGTCGCCAGTCTACTCCCGCGTGCCGGTGCGGCGATAAGAGAATGTGAGTATGCGCACGGCTTCTTCGTTCCTGCTTTCACTGCGCGCGGTGCAATGTACGCGCTGCGCCAGAGTGTTTCTGTCGCGTCTGAATGTGTTTGAGATTAGAAGTGAAATGCGGGGATGCAAGGTTACTAAGAACATATTGAAACAAATCTAACTGTGTGTTGTCTAGAAGGTAAGCAGCTAAGACGAGGGGATTTCTAACACAGAAATTAAAACGGGTACGCGGGTATCACAGCATTATGATTGAAGCGAGTGACATGTACTGTCTCCTTTGGTAGCAAACTGTCATGCACAGTATGATTTTATTTCGTTCATTTTTTTAGCCAAAGGAAAATTTGTTGCGACCAAAAATGATAATGAAGTCACGAAATTTGTGTGCGTGCTTGAACCGTGCATGTTTGCATTCTGTTATCTCTCAGTTTAAAGGTGCTAGAATAACTCAGCTTGCAGGTATACTTATAGACCTGTTTCATTACAGAGCTGTTATATTTCAATAGATCGCTTGAAATTTGATTATTTTGTTGGAACAAAGTTGACATCGAAGCGTAGAATTCTATTAGTCTCCCAATTTCGCCAACAATTTCTTTCGCGGTTGGGCCACTATCTCCTCGTTGTTACGCTCAAAGGCGAAATTAAAGTATTCAACGTAGAAGTTCTCTATGCTAGCGCTTTATTACACTCCAACGGGTGAGCCGTCGCCCTTTTTCAAACCGCGCTTATTTCGAACCACGGTATATAACATAAAAAATTGGTGGATCGCCCTTGCCAGTTGAATCATGGTTAAAGGAAAATTGGGTTAGGAATCGGTCAATTAGAACCATTTTCTGGGTTCATACAGGTCGCTGTAAGTCCTCTAGTCGACCTGTTTGTTCTTTATCCCGTCGCTTCACCTTTTCAGGCTTGTGCACGGAATCCTCGCGGCGACAGCGCTGGTGCTTTCGCCGCTCATTGTGACACACTCGGAGGCAAGGATACGGGACGATCCGAACCAGCCGTTCGCTCACACAAGGACCGGCTTAGTTCGCGGCGTTCGCCTAAACGTCGGCCACCGACCCTGTCGACGCTTTCTACGGTATACCTTACGCCGAGCCGCCCGTCGGTTATCTAAGGTTCCGTAAGCCTCGACCCGCGTTGCCTTGGAAAGGCATTTACTACGCCACGCACAAGAGACCTCCGTGTTCGCAGAAGTCTTGGGAACTCACGCAGGGATTCACCATTGACGCTTCCAACACGACCGAGGACTGTCTGCACTTGAACGTGTGGACGGCCGCCCGCTACTTGCTTCCACCCCAACATCGGACTGTGCACAACTAAAGCCGTCATGGTGTTTTTCCACGGCGGCGGCTTTCAGTTCGGCGGCAACAGTTACTCCGTCTACGACGCTCGCTATTTGGCCCTGTTCGGCGACGTCGGTCGTGGTAGGTGCCCAACTACAGGCTCAACGTGTTCGGCTTCCTGAACGCCAATGTTTCCGACGCACCGGGCAACATGGGCATGTACGATCAGATCCTGGCCCTTGAATGGGTACAGAAGAACATCGCCATGTTCGGCGGGGACCCTAATCGCGTGACGCTGTTCGGCCAGAGCGCCGGCTCAGTTTCCATAGGCTACCACCTGCTCTCTCCGCTGACGAGGGGCCTCTTCAAGAGAGTCATCATGCAGAGCGGTACTCCTTACTGGAAGGTTCCCGACAACACCTTCACGGGCAAGCTGAAGGTTCAGCAGCTGGCCGTCGGCCTAGGCTGTCCCGTCGGCGAAAGGGGCAACGTTCTGGCCGAACCCACGAAGGTCATCGACTGCATTCGTTCCAGGAGCCGCACGAGCATATACCGGGCCATGAAGGACGTGTTCGGCGTCGAAGAGCACTACATGATCCCGGCATACTACAGCGAATTCCTGCCGTTCGAGCCCGTGCTGGCCACAGAGAGGGGTCAGTTCCATGACGTCGACCTCATGATCGGCAACGTCCGGAACGAAGGTACCGGCATCGTGGACCACTTCTTCTGGAAGATATTCAACTTCAAGGACTACAGCAAGATCACCGTGGACGAGATATGGTTCTACAGCCTGCTGGTGTTCCGCGTCATTCTGGGAAAGAATCCGGCGCCCATCCGCGAGCTGTACCTGAGCGACCTGAACGAGACGGACTCGTGGATGGCGCTGAACCGTCTGTCCGACGCCGTCGGAGACTTCAGCCTCATCTGCCCATCGCAGCTGTTTGCCGAGGCGTACGCCAAGCGCAAGAACAATGTGTACTTCTATATATTCAACCACAGACCTTCGTTCAGCGTCTACCAGCCGTGGACTGGCGTGGTGCACGGAGACGAGCTCGGCTTTGTGTTCGGCTTCCCGCTCCTCTATCCGCAACACTCGACCGATGAAGAGAAGATCCTGTCCAGAAGGATGATGCGCATATGGTCGACGTTTGCGAGAACTGGGTGAGCACATACATTATTTTTATTAAGATTCAGTATAGTGGTTCCTGCTATTAAGAATGCTGATAGACAGAGAGACTCCTATATTAGAAAAGCACATTTTTGCTGGCGTGTATATTACTGCTTGCATGCCACTTCGTGTAGGGATGATGTATGGGATTAAAATATTTCATAGGAACGTAAAAAAGTAATCAAAATAAAAAATACGAACAAGTATAAGATGTGCTAGTGGAATTGATAGAAATATTTGCAACTAGGATGACAAGTAATTTTAGGCATTTTTATGTGAAATATAGTTCATTATGTAAGCTTTTTTAATTGGGCCATTAACTGAAAGGTAATTAAATTGTGACTTAAAACCTCGTCGCTGTTGAGAAGGGCTAGGGAGTAGACCTAACATGCTGCGTGACGTTAACGTATTGCGGCAGATCATGTCCATTTGTCGCTCAGGCGATTGTCTCGGTCGTCGCAGTACACGGACACAATAATAATATTTGCTCCAGTGTCTCTACAGCTGGCTACATTTTTCAAAACCAAGGTAAGCAAGATGGGACACTTTTTGGCTGAGGATCTATTTTCAATATAGTTTATGCTGGGATCAAAAGAACTGACCTGTTAAGTGCAGAAGGTTGTAGTCGCTGAACATGGCTTAGCGCATCGAAATGAATAAAAAAAGAAAGTCTTTCTTTCTTTCTTTTCCCCTTTCTTTTTTTCTTTCTTAATTGAGCAATTAGCCATATCACGATATACATCGTAAGCCGTGGCCTCCAGATTGATATTATGATATTAGGACTCACCCACAGAACTTATGAACGCTAACCGCATTGAACCACTCGATATGAGAAGACAGAAACACAGAATGGAATTTCTTAAACTAGTTTACACGAACAATACACCCCTAGACTCATCATTATATTTGTCGCCCCTAATAATCCAAACCACTCGTCACCGTAGACAAGATGCGTTAACACCCTACTTCGCGAGAACGAATACATTAAAAAATTCCTTTTTTCCCTCGTACAATAACTGAATGGAATTCATAATCAAATAAGCACCAAAATGCTGATTATTATCAATTTGTTTGTATATTGTTTCACAAACGTATTGACCCTATTTCTGTAATAGTGTTCTTGTTTCATTTATTCTTCTGTTTTCGGTATGTTCACTGTTGTACCATTTTATTTTCCCTCCCTGCTTGGACTACTTGTCCGCAGTATTTGATAAATAAAATGCATAAAATAAATATATCTCTGACACATTAACGTACACGAAAGGCGCAGTACGAGTAGTGCTTGTCCTCAGTTACTTCAGCCTCGGCTACCGGGAGTAAAACCCACAACCTCGTATTCAGCGCAAAGATGTCGTAATTGCTGAACTACTGATGCAGTTCAAGTATATACCGAACTAAAGAAGTATCATCCCGCTGGGTCTTACAGTGTTCGAAAGGATGCCAGATAACTGTAGCCGGAGGCAGTGAAAGAAAAGGAAACGCTTGTGGACAAAGAACAATGGCGCGTAGAATAAAATAGCGCCGCATAACCGCGCCGAGGAGGCCCCGTTATGATACGAAACGACCGAGGTAACGTCCATAGCACGATGAAACAATAGCGCCATATTCTTTGTTGGTGTAAATATAGCGCTGGCATGAGTGAAAACATATATAGAGAGAACGCCGTGCAGGACATTGTCCCATCCGCAGCTTTTTGCCTATATATTGCCGCAAGTCGGCCCAGTAGCTGCGTTTAAGTAAAACGTGAAATGCATAAAACACGAATGGAAACCACGGTCTTTCTGTTATGGCCGTCACACATTTTTGGTGTGGCGTTATTGCGGCGTTATACTCAGCGAAGGTTTATTCAATGTTTGAAGCGGTCTATTTTTGGTCGCTGCCGGTGTTGTTCCTGTGTCTGTGTGCCTGCAAAAAAAAAAAGGGAGTGCGGAATGAGGAAGTTGAGGCGTTAGTTCCTGTTAGTTGTTCTGCACGGGGGGGCAGTGTTTTCATCTTGGCCATGTAACCAACCCTTATGTAACAAGCGGAGATGTTCTTCGATATGCAACTTTTTCTACACTTGCTCTGTTATTGGCGCATTCATTTCGATGTGGAGCAACGAACATGACCAGTAACCCTGATAGATTAACTTGTATGGCACCAGCTGCAGGGACAGCCAACACTTGCGTGTAGTTCCTTCTAGATATTTGTTCCCGCAACCACAAACACTCGTATACCTTCGTGTGCAAGTGTAGTTTCGCTCGCAAAAGTGAACTCGACATTACATTGCGGAAGAACCGTGCACCATGGAAACGTATGACAGCGTATATTCTCTCTGGTGGACAGATTTGGGTCGAGTGATCCACAATGCTTTGTGTAATCCACAATGTGGATAATCACTCGTCACGTACTATACTTGCCGCATATACTATACCCCTCTTACATCTATGTGTGAAAGCTGGCTCTTTGATATCTGTTTGCTCAGGGTATAGTAACAGCGATGCTAGGCTGAAAGTGGTTGAGGTTTCGCAATGATATACGGCTGCATATTAATTTTAACAGCAAGGCTGTTATTAGTCGAACGTTTCATGGCCGGGGGCCATCGTAGATCGCGGTGAGATTTAACCATAGTAGGCGAAAGTCCCATTGCGGATATATGCCTCGTCCACTACTGCTGCCGCCACTTTTCCCACTTCGTTCGCCCATATATATATATATATATATATATATATATATATATATATATATATATATATATATATATATATATATATATATATATATACAGAAGAATAACTTCGGTTGCCGCAAGGTTATAAATATGAAAGTAGATGCGCTTTCACATAACAACTGTTTATTGTGCCGACGTTTCGACAGGAACCCTGTCTTTTTCAAGGCAAAAAGACAGGGTTCCTGTCAAAACGTCGGCACAATAAACAGTTGTTATGTGAAAGCGCATCTACTTTCATATATATATATATATATATATATATATATATATATATATATATATATATATATATATATATATATATATATATATATATATATATATATATATCACAGGAAGAGAACCAAACGGCATCAAGTATTTTAGACAAAATTAATGATGGGCTGTTGTCGTTGAACTGACAAGCATATATATAGATAGCATAAAGCGTCATGTCAGATTGCTGCCGAAACAACGAGGGCCAAGTGTCCCGCTGCCGAAGATGATAAACGCTCGATTGACTGGAGTTTCAAGGCCAGCGCTTCTTTCTATAGACAAGAGGGAAAAAAATTATTGCCGACTAAATGCGCGCGGGGTTACTGCGGATACTGCCGTTGAACGGGCGATATAGCATGGTTTCTTACAGATTGGGACGCTCGCTGAAAAAAAAAAAAATTAACGTCCCCGCACGTAGTACACAGATGACAGAACGAAAATAAAGAGAGGAAAACAGACGGAGCGAATCGCTTCGACTTCCGCGACGAGATTTCCTTCTTCCAGAAAGACGGAAACCGACCAGAGATTGAGCCGGTAGACGGAGTCGTATATACAGATGGGTTCTGCTTTACTTTCGCTACTGCGTTTCAGACCGCGACGTTTATTTCTGTTTTTTATCTTTCTTCATCTTTTCCTTGCGGCTGCTAGCATAAAGTGTTGCTTTATAAGAGCAGCCAAAAGTTGGCGGGCGACTGCCCCGCCACAGACAGGAAATACCGCCTCTGAAAATCTCCGAGTAAGTAGACCACAGCCGCAAAGCTGTACCGGGAGGAAACGAGATGGGAAAGGGGAAGCAGCAGATATACGGGAAACGTGGTCATATATGTACCAAGTTGATCGTTCGGAAAGAACAAGCCTATAAAACGAGAGATTTCCACATTTCGTGCCGTGAAAACGCTCTCATTATGACGGCGCCGCCGGTATTTGCTGTTTAACGGCTACATTAGCCATTGCGTAATCTCCTAATGAGCGCCGAATTGTTGGTTTGCGCACAACGGAGTGCGTTTCTTTCTGTGCGCGTGGGGTCCTTTTGCGAAATTAATTTTATTGCGGTGTTCACAGATTTGCGTATACGGCCAGGTTGCACAGTATTCGAAAAACGTTCTCGCTTTCTTTTTACAGGCCCATCTTCCTGTGAAAGTGCAATGTAGGCATTGTAACATGTACTAAAATAAGGACGAAGTGCGTAGGACTCACGCTGTACTTGTGCGGAAGCGAACATCTCAGCCCCTGCTGATGTTGGAAATATTGCCATCAAAATCGGTGTTCCGATTGCAAAGATCACACACAAATCGAAATTCTTGTGACTTATAGCTAAAGTAATAAACCTTATAAGTTACAACGAAACAGAACACCTTGAAATACGCCGTAACATCGTGAACATTTGCGGATGATGCCAACGAAAAGCTTAAGAAGTGCCAAAATGCGCGTTATATAAGTATAATATGGTCTAAAGTATCGTTCGCACCTCCTGTCATTTATTCTTGTGTATGTATCGTCCCCCTTTCTAAGCTTACGAAAGCAATCGAATATTTACTGATTTTCTTTCTATCTCTACTTTTCCCCTTTTTATATTGATACTATACCCTCTTTCATATGAAAGTAAAATTATTATCAGAACGATGCCTCTTTGAATCGGAAAGAATCTCACATGCGTTGCAATGTTGATGATGAAGAAGACTATTAGTGATAAAGTACCCGCCTAGACTTCTTAAGTTGAAGTAATAGGCTAATGAAAGTGTTACTGTCCTGTCTTATGCGGCAGAGTGCGGATGGTGCGCAAGAAAGAAAACGAAGACAAACTTTTGTCTATACCGCGGAGATTTTTTTTTCCTGGCTTGCTGGTTACGTAAACTGCCGTAACCCGTTATACATGTACGTTAGCTGGTTTTTTTTCAGGGGGGGGGGGGGGGGGCGAGGGGACGAGTAAATGACATCCTTATTCTTACAGTTGTCGCTTTGTCAGACTACACTTTATAGTTTCCCTTACTTTACTCACTTTATAGTATGCTTGTACTAGTCCAAGCTCGGCGCTTGGACTAGTACAAACATACAAAGCTTCGAAGTCTAGGCACTGAAGAAAGTCTACTATTTTTAAGCGAATATTGAGCTTAAGTTAGTTGCGAGAAATGCTGCAGTGAAAGATTCCAGATCAACTTTGATCAGATAGACGTTATTAGAGATATATCTATCCTCTTTCCGACCCTTTCCCCCACCCCCGTAAAGGGTAGCGAACCAGTTCGTCTAGGTTAACCTCCCTGTCTCTTCCTTTTATTTATTTCTATCTCTCTCTAATTTAGATACACCAACAGTGCTTGCGTACGCAAGTCCATACGTTCGGTTGTGCTATTCGGTGTGACTTCCGAATAGAAGAAGGCGTGGGACATGAACCTCTATGATGCCGAAAACGGGAGACCCAACAGCTCGTGGTCCTCGACAGAGTATCTTAGGAAAGAGTAGTTAGAGCGAGGGTGGCACCCAAGAAAGAAAACGGAACAAAAACGTACACTTATATTAGAGCCTCAGTGCCGGGAACGCAAGTCCATTCGTTTTTTTTTTTTTGTATTCTACATGGGTGTGGCTGGGAGAATGAAAGAACGCAAGAGTGTTGTCACCTAAACGCAAGTGCCTTTGCATTCAGCCCTGTCGGGTATGTGTCCACCGCGGCGACTATATTTGAACACGCAATTTCGTGCCCATGAACAAAACGTTGAATGGCGATTCAGCCATTCCTATAGGCGTTTCTGCCAACGTGGCTTTGGTCTTTACGACAGGCAGAGACGACGCTATGGCGATCCGTGGCTCACTACCTTCCCTTCCATCCTTCCACTTTCAGGAAGCCGCCGACTGTGGGAGGCCAACTTTGGCCGAGGTTCACTCGTGACCACGCTTTCCACCTGAACATCAACCTCAAGAACTACTCACACGGCATCGACTTTCGGAAGAAGCTGTGCTCCTTCTGGAGAAAGTATCTCGTTCCCACTGGTTACTGGTGACCGTGGCACTCCACTCTCAACGGACCCCAGCGCACATCCATCCTGTGTACAGTTCTTTCTCTCATGCTCTATGTCATGTCGTTGAACTTGTTACAAATCTGTAAATATATATAGTAAAGTACAAAACATTAAACCAAATGTGGAACCGCACGGCTTACACCACGAGACCGCAGTTGCCATCATACGCAATATTAGAACATCCGTGTGAGTCTGATTACACGTTTTTTCTGCCCCCCTACCCCTTTGTTTTGCGGGGTTGTAAAAAGAATGGCCGAGTGCGTTATAGGCTGTGTGCTCATGCAGACGCATCATGACGCCGGTGCAGTAGCAGATTTTGTTCCTCAGAAAGACAACTGCGAAAAGTGTACAGCAAGCGGGGATTTCGTCGCAATGTTGCTAATAAGTTTCAAGCTCTTATTGGTGCTGCGACATGAGTTGGGCTGCGTAATCAGCCGAGTGACGCAGCCTGGCATTTCTTTTGGGAGCGTGGAGGCCTTTGGAGTGGGGTTGGGGGGGGGGGGGGGGGTTCATCCATGCTTTTTGTATGTTCCAGGGTGCGTTTGTATACGAACGTGTGTGAAACTTTTTAGGAAAGAATTTTATTTCCTCCCCTCACTATTTCCCGGCTACGCCAGTGATAGCATGCATTACTCGTTTGATAAGATGATGTTCACCCTGTCGTCGTGGTGGTTAGAACTTTCTCGTAAGGGTTCGGTACATTTCCAGTTTTCAGCTCCCGTATTATAAGGTAAACATGGCTTTTCGTGTAGACTTGTAGTTACTATTGGTGTCGTGTTGGGCGACATAGATCAAATACCCGATCATAAGTTATGATGTGAACTGATTATACTTTGACAACAGTTACGCGAAAAATATCTTGGCTCACTTCCTTCTCGTCGAGGCAGAAGAGAACTTTCCGCATTGGCTTCTTCTGAAAACTGTGTCTTTTCAGCGCAGATACAGAAATGGTCCCCGGAACGCAGTGCCGTTTACAATAGCGAGTGTGCAGCGGTGCAACGAGTTCGTCACGAGTGCGTTAACTTGAAGCACTTTTTTCTTGCATGACTGGTTGTTTGCTTCTTTTTTTTTACATTCTTGCGTGTAAATAACTATTGTGGCAGACTTTGTGATACTACGGGAAGATCGGCGGACTGCCCAGCTTCCGTATTTAAAACTGCAGTGTGACGGAATACATGCGAATAACTTTAGTTAAAATTCTTGCAAGTTAGGGGGACGGGCAAAAGGTTCCGCTTATGTGACAGCCAATACTAGACTTCTGATGGGTTACTTATTATAATTATTATTTTTTTTCATTAACGCAGCGGCTTCTTGGGTTGTCCAACGGGTTGAGGAAGCCGCAACGCGAACGAAAAAAAAATTATTAATAAGGACAAGCAAAGAGCACCAGGCAACACCGTGCCTACTCGGCGAATTATTCTTCACATACATTATTATTATTATTATTATTATTATTATTATTATTATTATTATTATATTATTATTATTATTATTATTATTACTGATTCACACTGAATCTTTCAACTGCACGTGCACGTGAACAGCGCGTGCACGTGAACAGATTCTATGTAGCCTGTTTCGGGATTACTATATACTCCCTTTCATAATCAGGTGCCGCGGAAACTGTTCAGTCAGCGAAACGTGTAAATCGGCGCGTCTCGCGCTGGGGTTCCCTCGTAAACGTGGCCTCCGCGATCGACTTCCGGCTGCCGAAACTGATCGCGGTCACACCTGCGGAAACGAACGTGTGTGAAATTTTTCAGGAAAGAATTTTATCTCCTCCCCTCACTATTTCCCGGCTACGGCAGTGATAGCAGTACTCCTTTGATAAGATGATGTTCACACTGTCGTTGTGGTGGTCAAAACTTGCTCGTAAGGGTTGGTGCCTTTCCAGGTTCCAGCTCCCGTATTATAAGGTAAACATTCTCTATCTTGTAGACTTGCAGTGTGTCGTGTTGGCCGACAGAGATCAAATACCCAATCATAAGTGAACTGATTATACTGACACAGTGTGACTTCAAATTACGCGCGCTAGCAAGTACTTGTGCCTTCTAGATGATTTGCGATACACGAGCCTGCGGGACCCAGCTGCGCGCGAACCGTGTTGGGAAAAAAGAAGAATGTAGAAGAAGAGGCAGAAGGGAATCCTCGAGACTATCTAGCTGTGCTATTATTCTCGGGCACAAGTTCGCCCTGCCTACGTTAGCCTTTTAAAAGAGTTTATTGAAGAGTGCGTTACAAATCTGGTGGAGGTGCTGGGTATGATGCCAAGCCCCTCTCGAGTGACGGAGCACAGTCCAGAACCACAGTGATTTCGACCCAACGAGCTGACGCCTGTTCATCAGCGCTGCAGTCGACGCCTACGTGGTGAGGGGCCTGAATTTTCACCTTTATCGACTTCGCTTGGAACATCAACGGCTGTGAACGGGTACGCAACCGACATGACAGCTCAGGTCACTCCAGCCAAGATTGTCGTAAACCAGCCAATGCTACCAAAGCCTTTCCACGGCGGAAAGCTACGAGGACGCAGAGGACTGGCTTGAGCACTTTGAACGCGTCGCAAAAGCTAACGGATATGGGGAAGAGCGCAAACTTGGAAGTGTTTACTTCGCACTGGAAGATAGCGCACGAACGTGGTATGAAAACCACGAAGCCACCTTCCGGTCATGGAATGATTTTCGACGGGAGCTGCTCGCTGCTTTCCCGAACCACAGACCGCAAAGAGAGAGCTGAAGCTGCGCTCCAGACAAGAAATCAGCGCAATAACAAAACTGTCGCCATGTATCTGGAAGACATGTCTCGCTTATTCCGCCGAGCGGATTCAAATGTGAGCGAAGACAGGAAGCTGCGCCATCTGATGCGAGGCGTGAAGCAAGAACTCTTTGCCGGACTAATTCGAAGCCCGCCGCGCACCGTCGCCGAGTTTCGTTCTGAGGCTACTACAATGGAAAGGGCGCTACAACAGCGAGCAAGGTTATACAACCGGGATGCGATCGTCACTTCCTTGGCCACGTTGCCACCAGCCTTCGGTAACGGCATGGAAGCACTACGCGAGCTGGTGCGGTCTGTTGTGCGAGAAGAGCTGCAGAGGCAGCGTCTTGACCAGAACGCTCCAATGCTTTCGTCTCTGGCCGATGTGATTCGTGAGGAGGTCAGGCAGGTGGTACGCGAACCTTCGAGCAACGCACAGCCAGGGCCACCACTTCAACAGAAGACGAGAATGACGTATGCTGATGTGCTACTACGAGGACCTCCAGGACGTTCGGACGTCGCGGCGGCTACACCTATGCAGTACCCGATGCCGCCGAGCACCCTGCAGCCAACGCCAGAGAGGAGACTAAGGAAGAGCGATGTCTGGCGCACTCCCGACAGGATACCGCTGTGTTACCACTGTGGGGAGCCTGGTCATCTCTACCGAACGTGCCACTACCACCAGGCAGGACTACGTGGTTTTTCTGTTAATGCACCTCGACAACGAAATGGTGAACGTCCCTTCGAAATTTAAGAATGCCTGTCAGGTCGTCAAACCTCAAGTGGCTTCCAACGACACCAACCTCGGGCAACGACAACGGGGAGGTATAGATCGCCTAGCCCCCGACCTTCAGCAAGCTCCCCAAGGTCTCGTTCCCCAAGCCCGCGTCGGGAAAACTAGAGAGCGACCTGTGGAGGCAAGGCCGCTGTCGACGCTAATGCAGAAAAACCTCCATTGCTGACTCGGAACGATGACCGATTCAGAAACCGGTGCTTTGATAGTGACGTTGCTTCCGATTTACGTGTGTTCGTTGATGGCTACGAAGTCATCGGACTGGTAGATACCGGCGCAGATTATTCAGTGATGAGTAGCGGACTTTCTAAAATACTAAAGAAAGTGCTGACTCCTTGGAAGGGACCACAAGTTCGCACAGCAGGAGGGCACCTCATCGACCCTACTGGAATATGCACAGCAAGAATCGGAATACGGGCAAGAATAGCAAGAATAGCAAGAATAGCAAGAATCGGAATCACGTACGTCGCCAGTTTTATTGTGCTGCCGGAATGCTCAAGAAACTTGATTATCGGCATGGATTTCTTACGAGCTAATGGCGCTGTAATTAACTTGCGAGAATCTTCCGTCTCATTCTCGACTAGGCACGCGATTGCTACCTTTGAAACGGAAGAAAACGTATATGAACTTTGTATTGCAGATGATGGCGTCATGGTGCCACCAAGATCGAGCATATCTGTCGCAGTAAACAACAAAGCATTCAGTGAATTCGAAGGATTTGCTGACAACAACACTGCCTTACTACTCCAAAAGGGATCTGCATGGCACGAGGCCTTGTTAAGTTACGTGACGGATGTGCAAATGTTCTACTCACAACTTTGGAAATGAGGTGCAGCACGTTGCAAAAGGAACCGTCATCGCCAGTCTGAATGATTTCGTGCAGGTTACGGAGCTGCGAACTTTTGAAACCAATGATTCTGTTTTCGAAGACGTGGAGTCTGTCCTTGCAGCCATGGACATCGAGCCAGGCCTACTACCAAGCGAAAAAGAGCAAATAGAGGGCCTTTTAAGGGAATTCGCCGAATGTTTCTCGTTGTCATCTAAGGTTCGACGCACTCCTGTCGCCAAACATCGCATCATTGTCGACGAGTCAGTGAGGCCAATACACCAGCATCCCTACCGAGTGTCACCAAGAGAAAGAGAAGCTATTGGTAATCAGGTTAAAGAAATGCTCAAAGACGATGTAGTCCAGCCTTCATCAAGTCCATGGGCGTCACCTGTTGTTTGTGAAGAAAAAAGACCAAACCTTACGTTTCTGCGTTGATTATCGGAAGCTGAATGCCGTCACCAAACGGGATGTTTATCCTCTGCCAAGAATTGATGACACTCTGGATAGGCTGAGAAATGCCAGGTATTTTTCCTCATTGGATCTTAAAAGTGGGTATGGCAGATAGAAGTTGACGAAAGAGATCGCGAAAAGACAGCGTTCGTGACACCGGACGTTTATACGAGTTCAAGGTACTCCCTTTTGGCCTTTGTTCAGCACCCGCCACATTCCAACGGATGATGGACACAGTGCTTTGTGGTCTTAATGGCAGTCATGTCTGGTTTATCTCGACGATGTTGTAGTTTTCTC